GGTATCGCCGTGGTACCTATGAAAGGTACGTGATACGTCTGTTCACACTTCGTTTTGAGAACGAGAGTGTTGGTCGCCCAATCGTCCTCGGTGCTGCGGAACCAACGAGACCACGGAGTGCCGAGAATGAAGTCGTACCCCGTCTCCATCACATCGAAATGTGCAGAGGAGCGGTGGCGACGAGACGCCGGGGAACGATCAGTCGGCTCGAGAGTGAGGAAGAAGGGGAGGTCGGTGACCGTCTGATCAAAGAAGCGCTGGGTCTTGTCATCCCCTAGGGTAACGGAGATGGGAGTCGAAGACCCTGTGGTGGGTAAGCGGGCTTCCTTCACCACGCGTGGGTGAATGAAGTCGCCCTGAGAACCGGAATCCCACAGCGCTGAGTACACCCTCGTGGAGGTCCCGAGTCGTACTGGGATGATCGGGAGGGTGCGATCAGAGTCAGAGAGGATGGCGAGAAGGCGACGCAGTGCGGAGACGTGGAGGGTGAGTCGCTCCTGACGAGCCTGGAGCATGCTCAAGTCCAGAAGAGAGGACACAACGTCCTCGCGAGTAGCAAGCTACTCACTGCAACAAGCTGAGCGAATGGCTCAACGCGTCGGTAGTTGCGGCGGGGAAGGAGGGGAGACGGTGGTCTGCGGAAGCGTAGACGGTACTGCGACACTCTGTCGAGTCCTGCGATACCTCAACTCCAGTAGCAAGAGGGGCGAACCGCGACGGAGATGTCGGGAAGCCCACTATTGAGGAGGGCGCAGGTGTACACTGCACCGTGGCTAGGAGGCGCCGCAGGGACGTGAGGCGCCACGGGGATGTGAGGCGCCGCGGGGACGTGAGGCACCGGGGGGGGACTGAGCACGACACTGACGAGAAAGATCAGCGTAGTGGCGGTCGAGGGCGGTAGTGTAAGGGCATCGCGAGGAGGTATACCCGTCCGAGCGGCAGCGCAAACACCCGCGTCGGCCCAGAATAGCCGCGCAGTCCTCAGCGGAAAGGACACCGCGAGGAGGGACGAAGCCCTGAGGGAGGTCCTCCTGAGGGACCTCGGGGGCGACGCGCTAGCGTGACCGGGGCGGCTGCGTGCCCGAGAGAGAGCGGAGAGCGCGAGCTGAAGGCGCTCAGCTGCAGGGAGGGTCAAGTCCTCCAAGTGATAGTGGACGGCCTCGCAGAGATCGAGGTCGTCGTTGTGGTCGCCCTCAGGTGACAATGGGGCAACAGCGTACTGCTCACCATACTCCAGCGCGCTGAAGCGGCGCGAGAAGTGGCGGCCCTGCTGCGTGGAACGGCGGGGGCGACCGCGAAAAGGGGAACAGCGCTGGAAAGTGTCGTGAGAGGAGGAGGAGACGTAACCCGTGCGCTGAGGCTGGGAGGAGGAGGCGGGGTGAAGACGGGCTCGCATCCGCTCATGGTTCCTGGCGGCCTCGTAAGCCTGGTGGGGCCGATGTGAACTCGTACCGCCATAGCTCGGAGTGGTACTAGAGCGGAAGGCTGGCCAGGAAACGATCGATAAAGGCAGCCTCGGGGAGGAATGCCACGTCGCAAATGAGGCGGGCGTCCTAAAAGACCTGGATGTGGCGATCCGGGCCGGCAGCGCCACCAGAGCCGGACCAGCGTGTAGTGACGACACGCTCGAAGGCGTCAGTCACGTCGTATCGGGCTCCGAAGCGATCCTCGAGGAACGCCTGGAAATCCACGAAGGTCGGAGTCCGACCCTCACGAAGGGAGTAGGCATAGAAATCCTCCCAGGCCTCGAAAGGACCGCCACGCAGGCGCGTGGAGAGGTGACCCACCCACGTCTCGGGTGTGGCGCCCATGAGCTGGAGTGTGCGCGTGGCAGACTGCAGCCACCGAGACACGCGTATGCCTGTACCGTCATACAAGGCAATGTCTGACAAGCGGATGAGTGGTGCCCCACCGTTTTGGCGGCGAGGGGATCGAGGAGTGGAGGCATGTGCCACAACTGAGTGAGTCGGCACAGGTCCTGGAGAAAGGGGCGCAACTGACTGTGCGCCCGGGCCGCATGGGGGAGCGGCGGTGGCAACAGCGGCAGGCTGCGAGGGTGCTGCGGTAGAAGAGGTCGCAGCAACCGCGGGAGTAGGAAGAAGGTAGGAAGGAGTTATATAGGGTGCAGGGCGCGGGAAGCGAGCCTGCATGGGAGAAAGGGTAGAGAAGGTAGCGGGTGCGCCCAAAGGCACGGCCACCTGCGAGGGTGGGGGTGGCTGAAGGCGTAAAAGGGCGAGGTCGGCCCGGAGCTGGGCAATCTCGTCCGCGAGACCTTGAACGTAGGTCGATCGCGGGGTGGCAGGAGGAAGAGTGAGGGGGTGGACGCACAAGCGGCGCGGGGCATCCAAGAGAGGGGAGAGCCAGGTGGCGCTGCTGTCGTGCGAAGGGGAGGGAGAAGCGAGGCACCCGGAAAAGCTGAGACCATGGTAGCGGGTTGTTGTACCGTGGCCGTAGGGACCGAGATCTGGGCGGGTGCGCCCGTAGACTGAGGCGGGGCCTGGCTCGTGGCGGCCGTCGTGCTAGGGGCGTGGACAGTCACCAAGATGGCCGGTTCAGGGGCAACGGAGGAGGAGGCTCCGCCGTGGCCACCCTGTCGGAGGACGGGGGACCCGGACTGGGAGCCAGGAGATGACGGACATGCAGCGTCCTGGAGTTGCTGCATGTCGGCGGCAAGGGTCGCCACCTGCGCCTGTAAGGGCGTGAGGGTCACGAGTTGCGCCTGGATGGGCGCAAGGGTCGCGAGTTGCGCCTGGATGGGCGCAAGGAGGGAGGCGAGGAGGGTGTGTAGATCCCCCTGGGGCTGATGGCCTTGGTCCGCCGCCACGGGTGTGGAGCCTGATGTCGTGGTCATCGCCGTGTCGGCGGCGTGTGACGCACCGTCGGCCATGGGGAGATGACGGACCGGACTGGAGGGGGCCAGAAGAGGTCCGCGTGAGCGGAGGGCGTAGGGGGAAGTCCGCGGTAGAAAGCGGCGAACAGCGCTAGCAAGGCTAGCACGGGTGCTGTCAAAGGGGGAGGGATGGTTCGGGTCCAGGGTGCCCGAAGAGGACGGGGAAGTAGGGGGGGGTTGAGGAACCCTAAACCCGACTAAAACTCTAAGAAAACCCTAACCGAGGTTTAAGTGGCTAGGGTAGGGTACCGATGACCTAATCAAGAAAGTAAAATAGCAAGCATAAGGGGGGGGAGACTGGAGAAAAATAAATAAACAGCGAGATTTCGAGAAAAAATAAAAATAAATAAGAAAATAAATAAATAATAAAAATAATTAAATAAATAAGTAAAGAGATGTGAAGGGAAACAATATTTATTTATTTAATTATTTATTTATTTTGAAATTTTCGGCAGCATTTCCCTTCCCCCCACTGGGTCAAGAATGTGCCAAGGGGAAGGGAGAGACCAAGGTGAGCACACTAGGTGTCAAGATGCCGCAAAGAAAAAAGAAATTTCAGAAAATAAATAAAGAAATAATAGATAAAGAGATAAATTTAAAAAAATAATAATAAAAAATAAAGAAGTAAAAGTGGATGAGGAGGTGGGGAGGAAGGACGTATCTAATTTGTCAAAAATTTTGGCAGCATTTCATTACCCCCATGGGGTCGAAGTGTGCCAAGAAGACTAGGTGAAATAAAAAAAAAACAGAAAATTTCGGCAGCACTTCGTTACTCCCACGGGGTCGAAACGTGTGCCGAAAGTAGTAAGGACTAACACCTAATCAGATTTAGGGTTGTCGTAAAGAAAATTGAATTTTCAGACTAAATAGAAAAATAAATAAAATAAATCAGAAAATGAGAAAAGAAGGTGGGAAAGAAGATATTTCGAATTTTTGGAAAAGAGAAAAGATAAATCAAGAGAGATATAGAAAAAAAAAAAAAAA